CCATGTGTGCTTGAGAAGAACATGTATTCTGTTGCTTTTGGGTGAAATGTTCTATACATACATGTCTGTTAAGTCTGTCTGGTCTAACGTGTCGTTTAAGGCCCATGTTTCCTTATTGATTTTGTCTGGAATCTATCCACTGATGAATTAAAGTTCCCTCCTATTATTGTATTGCTATTCTCCCTTCAGGTCTGTTAAAATTTGCTTTATATATTTAGGTGCTCTTAGATTAGGGGCATAAATATATATAAATGTTATATCCTCTGGTAAGACTCACCCCTTTACTGTTATGTAATGGCTTTGTCTCTTATTATAGTCTTTGTCTTAAAGTCTATTTTGTCTGATATAACTATAGCTACCCCAGCTTTCTTTTGGTTTCTATTTGCATGGAATATCTTTTTCCATCCCTTCGTTTTCAGCCTGTGTGTATCCTTACTTCTGAAGTGAGTCACTTGTAGGCAGCATATAGGTGGGTCTTGTATTTTTTTTATCCAATCAGCCACTTTACGACTGTTGATTGGAGAAGTTAGTCCATTTACATTTAAAGTAATTTTTGATAATTGTGTACTTATTGCCATTTTGCTAATTGTTTTCTGGCTGTTTTTTATTTTCTCTGTTCCTTTCTTCTACTCCTGCTCTCTTCCTCTGTGACTGGATGATTTTCTGCAGTGGTATGATTAGATTCCTTTATCTTTTGTGTATTTACTATAGGTTTTTGCTTTGTAGTTACCATGAGGCTTACATAAAACAACTTATATTTATAAATCTATTTTAAGATGATAACAAGTTTAAGTGCATTCTAAAGCTCTACATTTTTACTCCCTCACGTGTTTTCGATGTCACAGTGTTCCTAGAATCTTGGGACAGAGCTGGCACTGATGTAGTTGAACTTAATCTTTGTATGCCCATATCATCTCCTCTCTCATATAGTTTGGATACTAGTTTTTAAGAAACTTGAGCAAATTATTCCTCAAAACTATGAATTTTCTTTGGTAAGAATAAAAACTGTCTTAGGAAAATGTTCATTCCTATGAAGAGGCATCCAAATATCAGGCCAGGCCTTGATGTTTTGCACAGACAAGCCCCAGCCTGTGGCCACATTTTACCTATAGACACATCAGAGGAAACTCACTGGTCTGAGATTGGTACAGTGAAAATCAAAAGATTTTTCTGTTTTCAGAACATTCCAAGTTTACAACATCTTACCTCTGGAGGGCCCTTCTTGCTAATATTCTTCATTTTAATCTCTAAACATTACCTCCTCTGCTTTTTGTGGTACCACAGTGACATGGGCAGTTAAGTAGTTATGTTTCAGAACTAGAAATGCATCTTGCTTCACATGCTGACATTACCTGCTACAATTAATCGTGACTGTATCTGAACAATAATAAACACCCTAACACTTTCAGAGCTCCAAAAACTCGGTCAGCAACATGCTTATACTTCTTGTTTTGTGCTATCCTGTGGAATAAACAATAATGGAAAAAATGTACATTGTCAAATGTGCTATTACTGACTATATGAAAATAGTCTCTTCAGCAAAGAACAAAAAAACCTCATAAATCAGGAGTTTGCTTACACTGTGTGTTGATGAATGAATCATATTTTTAGCTTAGCTCTTTCTTGATTTTTGGTTTCAACACATGAACTATCAATTAATGCGAGATGCCTGTGTGATATGCCAGACTGGTGAAATAATTTTACTTTAAAAGGTATTTAAGCATTTGCTGAGAGGCCCCAATGACTTTGATAAGGTGGAAGAATGTGTTGAAATCAACAAATATTTGAATCTATAATAACATTATTAATACAACCTTTTCTAGTAAAATTGCTAATTGGTCTTAAATGGGATTTGGTATACTAGTTATAACCTAAGTCCTTGACTGTACAAAATCTAGAGAAAACAACTTCAGTTTTTTCCCTTCATTACTATTTGGGAAATGCTAGGGCTGTCACAGTCTGTTTTAGATAAATGGTGACTCTGAGCTGTCAGGTTGAGACAGCTTTTTCCAGAAAGACTGCCAGCTGTGCGTGGAATTGGCCAAAATGAGCTAAGTGCACTCAGCTGCAGTAGACTGATACTATCATTGCCGAGCTCTGTGTGATGCAGGGAAATTAGAGGCTAGTGAATCCACAGCAGAGGATGGCATGACAGGGCCCTTTCATGCTCTGTTGTCCCATTCCAGACTACACACCCTCTTCACAGGGATAGGCAGCTTAGTGCCGAGGCCCATAGGAAATAAGACAGTGAGGAAAAGGACAGGATTCAAGTTTCCCTAGGCCAAAATGATCTGGTAAGTTCCTTGAGAACTGGAGCTGACCTTGTTCCCAGGCTAGCACAGTGCCTGGCCCGTGGGGAGGGAGCAGGCAGGAAATGGGTGTGGAATGAGGCGTGCGGATATATCGGGATGCAGGTCTGGGCTTCACTTGTTGAGAGAATGCAAGTGAGAACTAGATTGCTAAAAATTGGAGACGCTGGCTGATCCCTGACAACGCTGTACTACTCTCAGCCTTCTATATCCTCACACAACGCGTGCCAATCAAGGGTCAGAGCCTCCCAGCGTCCAGTGGAGGTGTGATGTGCGGTAATGACGTATGTAAAGAGCATGGCTACTTCCTCTCATAAGAGTAATGCAATGCCTCTCACTTAACACTAGGAGACAAATGTGAATGCTGTACAGTTGCTACGGGCACATGAAGTTAAGACGCTTAAAGAGTTCCATAACAAGTTATCCTCCCAATGACAAAAATATATAGTTAGGAGAAGAGTCTGGAGTATTCCGCTTTCCCAACGTGCGTTAAAAACAAAAACACTTTTGGCTTTTTAGGTGGACTCACCAATAATACATAATCAGGTTTGGGACTATAAACTCTCAAATATTTGTTAAAAGTGAAGAGTGTTGGAGCCCTGAACCTAATTTCATTCAGAGGCCTTCTATTTGAGCTCATTAAGTCACCAGAAACATTTTGATAAATATCCATGCTTCCACTTAGGGACACGTTTTTCATCTCAATTCAGCGAAGAACTACTTTCACTGGCCAGCTGGTATAACTGGCATTAAAAACTAACAAAGAATGTAGAGAAGGGAAAAATCTTCCCTTTCTCAATAATTTCCTTAAAACTATATGCAGAGAGTTGAGAAGAAATGGACTTTATGTTCAGGGCAGAGGATCGGCAGTGCTGCCAAATCTGTGGGTGATGGTGGAGCGGCTCACTGGTCCCTTCTCCCACTCCTGATGGGATGGAAGTTGAAGCCTCTGCCTCATTTTATAAAAGGTCACAATTTGAGAAGTCTCCAAGTACTCTTAGAAAGATATGTATAGAAGACTCTGGTGAATTATTGAGTAAGAGCCTCCCTGAGTGACTGAAAAATGTTCCTTCATTTCAAGAAGTGTCACCCGACAGTCCAAAGGTGCTCACAGATGACGTAGCTGTGATTTGTATCTGCACGTCCTGGGGGAATGAACCACACATCCATCTGTTTAAAAACATGCCCAGTGCACTTGTTCACAAACCTTGTAAATAGTAACCCTGTCTGAAGACTTACTCAGAATTTTATCTGAACATCTGCTTCTTATGTACTATGATCAGGCACTGCTCCTGTAATACAGATACACCTGTAATTCCAGTAAGTGGCTGCTCTAAAGTCAACCATATCTGTTAGTTTCAGGAAAAAATTAGGGTGATTATATTCTAATAAGGCAACTGAATTCTCCTTTAAAAGGACTTTGTACAAAATGCACTTCAGTCCTGAGCAGTAGTTCAACAGATGTACCTAACCCAGGGACAGACCCACGTGATCAGACTTCCCTGACAAATGTGTTTCATGAGTCAAAAGCATCCCCTTAGTGTTTAGTGCTTTTCAGTGACCTCCATTTTAAAGAAAATGTCTATATTATATAAAACAAATCTCTGTACTTTATCAATCTATATATCCCATGTTGCTTAGTGCAGTGACATTTTTTCATATAGGCGACTGTGGTTGAGGAGCTAGCTGTAATGAACTGCACCACCACAGTTTTCTGAATATAGACATTAATAAAACATACGATCAACTTCCTACTATAGCCTAAGGGTAAAAATATGGAAAAACTCCATATTTCTGTCAGTTTCCATTATCTTTGAGACAGTCTTTTTTTTTTTTTCTGCGGCACGCAGGCCTTTCACTGCTGTGGCCTCTCCCGTTGTGGAGCACAGGCTCCGGACGCGCAGGCTCAGCGGCCATGGCTCACGGGCCCAGCCGCTCTGCGGCATGCGGGATCTTCCCGGACCGGGGCACGAACTCGCGTCCCCTGCATCGGCAGGCGGACTCTCAACTACTGCGCCACCAGGGAAGCCCTTTGAGACAGTCTTGAAAGCACTAAGGATCGAAATGGCAAACATGGAAATGCGTCTTGTATTACTTTTTCAGTTTTTTTCCCAAATAAATTTACCTATTTTATTTATTTATTTTTGGCTGTGTTGGGTCTTCGTTGCTGCATGCGGGCTTTCTTTAGTTGCTTCGAGCCGGGGCTATTCTTTGTTGTGGGGCACAGGCTCCTCACTGCAGTGGCTTCTCTTGTTGCGGAGCACGGGCTCTAGGCGCGCAGGCTTCAGTAGTTGTGGCATGTGGGCTCAGTAGTTGTGGCTTGCGGGCTCTAGAGTGCAGGCTCAGTAGTTGTGGCACACGGGCTTAGTTGCTTAGTTTAACACGAGCGTTAAAAGTCATTCTTTTTAGTTAGCCCTTTTTCTTTTTCTGATGGCTCTAGAAGGAACTCCTGCCTGCGCTCCCCACTGCCCCAAAAAGTTGAGAAAATATTCTAGATTTTTGCCAGAGTATGCAAGAAGAGAAATAAATTCAATGAACGGGTATTCTATTTCTAAGCAGTTTTAAATTATTGTTTTAGGAGCTCAACGCAAAACTTTCAACAGTAAACAAAAGAGGTGAGAGGGTGTACTCAGTATTAAATAAATGGCCAAACACATTTTTCCAAATACTCTCAGTCATGAGAAAAAAGTGAGCTATCAATATTTTTGATTTCTAAAAGCCAAATTTAATAAATTAATAACTGCATGCCAGATAAAAACACAAAATTACAACTGAAAACCAATAATAATTTAACAGAAAATGCTCTGCGTTGTACTTTTTTATTGGTAGAGATCATTTACTAAAGTAACAAATCTGAAAACACATTTTGCTTTTGCTGGAAAGAAAGTACTATGCTAGAGAAGAACTAAGAGAAACCAGAAATAAAGCATTTGAGAAAAGCAGGCATATGTTATAGTCTATGGCGATGCGGCAGCCAGAGGTGCTGGTTTCTCCATTTGTGTGCATGTTTATGGAAGCATCAGAAACCAGTGACGCAGGACCCAAAAGCAAAGTCACGACAGAGTTACTCTGTGAAACATGCTGGACTACAACCACAGGCGACCCAGGACGAAGGGGTGGCGCAGGCTTGGTGTCTCCTTTGTGGGGTTCCCTTGCCAAACAGGGGGCTAATCATGCACTAGCTTGAGTTTCTCTTAACGTGATAAACACCCAGGACTACTAGAACTGGAAAGCATGTGTGCACTGTTTTACACGGACAGCGGAGCAGTGCTATGAAAACAATGGCAAGTTCCCTCATTTTAATCTGGTTATATGCCCAAACTTCTAACCAAGAAATAATTCAGCTATAAGAGCCAATTAAATTACTATAAAACATTCCGTCATCTGTAAAACATTTCTTTTTTCCTTCAAACTAAAAATTTAAAATAAAATGTCTTCGTTTTTGATAAGCAGCTCCACCACCAGTCTCTGATATCGTATATCGTTCAGGGCAGCCATGGCGTCTAGTTCTGGAGATCTCATGAGGGTTGGGCCGAAAACAATCCCAAGGTTCTCTGCATTCATCAGATTCTCCTTTTCGTGAAGGGTCACTCTGAAAAATACAAGGAAGGGAGGGTGACTTCACGTAGGCTACGGGGGTCTTTGGCGTGCTGAAGCACTAAAACAAAAGGTTCACAGTAAAGGTTTGTGCCCACTGATCAGCTCTTTCGCTAGGTTATTTCTCTGCACTTCTCCTTAACTTCAAAGTACTGACTTTCCTTAACGTAAATGATGTTAGTAAATAATTTTAACTTCTGGTGATCACTGGAGCTGAAGCCTGAGTTGACGTGCTGGCCTGTGTGGAGTCAGTTCTATTTGTGGATTCACCTGCCACAGCCTACAGCTGCAGGGGTGTGTTTGTAAACAGAGAAGGGACAGGGTCATCTTGATAATTCCATCAGCTCTCCCTCCACTTTGGCGAGATCTTGTTTCCTATAGGGCATTTTTGCCAGGTTGAATGGTTTATTGAGTAGTTAGGGAGAGAGTGGTAGCCATATTAATAGGAAATGGCTCAAGCTAAGCAACCTCGTCAGGGAGTGTATTTATATTCTTTTTACTGCTACAGAAAAGGCACAGAGACTATAATTTGAGAGTTATTCCTTTGTTTTAGTGTGGAGTTCTTAACTGCATCCACATACACAGCGAACTTGAATTTTACAAGTGAAGCATGTGAAAAAAAGTTTTAACTCATGGTGCTTTTAAGGAGGGAAACCATGTAAATCCTTAAAAGCACCGTGAGTTAAATATTCACTTCTGGGTAACTCGCACCTAAAGGCATACAAAATAGATGTCAAGTTCTGCTGGGTTTTTTTGTTTCTGATTGGTACTATATTTGGAAATCCTAAAGCCACTAAAACTTGGTCATATAATTTTAAAAACCTTGCTTCAACTGGGAGAGATGGAGGGTGACCAAGCGGGGAAATAAAGCTGTATCACCATCAATCACTTTAAAACATTCAACCAGAAGTAACTGAAATATTTTATTTTCCATTCTTCTCTTTACTCCTTATTTTACTCCATCACTTTCATCACCTGCTGAAAACAGCAGGTTTCAATATTGGCAACATTAATTCAATAATCTAAAATGCCAAGTCTGAAGTGCCTATTTTGGAGCAAGACTTAAGTGAGCTTCCTTGCAAGTTGCTTTATTATACGAACGCTCGTTTCTTTACAGCTGCAACCTTTTTCCTTTCCACAAAAATTAATGCATGTCCTTGGCAGAATATTGGCGTTTCTAACATTTGGAACATATACTTGCACTGCGAATACATTTATGTTGGAATCAAGTCTGCATTCAGTATTGTAGTGCCTTTTCTTTAGCATTCCTTCTCAACGTGTGCGATTTTACACAAGAAGACAAGATACCTATGTATTTATTCATTCATTCAATAGATCATTTGTCCTTTCTTTCACCTTTGCTTTCATTTGATTCTTAACATTTGGATGTGGTACAAGCATAAGCGTCCGAGTTGGGAACTTGCCTCTTTAGATGCGCCATGAGATACCGGAGGGTTTCGCAGTGAGCGGGTGGCAGCAGTTTCAGTGCTTCATGAAGGGTTTCTAATTGCTCATCGGGATCCATAATTTCTACAGTAGCAAGATGAATACCAAGGAGAGAAACTTTAATAGACAACTGGTACAAATGGCCCATTTAATTCTATTCTTGTGGTGATCTTCTAAAACTGACAAGAAGTGCTTTCTCACAGGTCCTTGCCCACAGCTTTGGAAAATATTTTTAAGGTTCAAGTCTCAGATTTCCAAAAGTTTAGCGTCAATGTGGCAATATCATTTACTTGGACTTTTGGGGAGAGCACCCAGTGTTTTCACTTGAGGGTCCTAAAGTCTGATAAATATGAAAACTGGATATTGGATGTATAGGATGTAACTATAAAAAATTCAGACACATAATAACGTATGCAAGGGTAAAAACTTATATATTCGAATAAGGTCATCTTAGAACATTACAGACATATTGAAACAATGCTGCACTGTTCAAAATATTTTGAAAATCTCCTTTCAGCAATGGTATACCAGCGATGCCAGCCCAGTGCCCACGGCAACCCCTGCCAAAGTTTTATTAATTGATACTCATGCTTTTTTCTTCGTAGACCAAGAAATGTATCATCCAATATTTACTTCCTTTATTCATTAGACTTAGTTTTAAATTATTTTGTTATATAAAAAAGTCAATTCTACTCTCAAAGCACAATTCTTCTACTTAAGATATTCAGAAGAATGCAGTACAGACTTTGAAGGCAATTCCAAACGTTCTGAGTGACAACAGGATCCCTGAAATAAATGTGACTCTTACAAAGGTGTAAACTTTGAGGGGGACAATCTTCATTTGGATATTTTCTGTTTTGGCCAAAAAACCACATTCCTTTGAGGTCACAGACTGCGTTTAATTCATCAGTCACTTCCCTAATCAGAAACAACAGACATCTTTGGAATTTCATGCTCTCAAAAAGAGGACCATAGCACATTCCTGC